ATCAAAATACTCAACCGTAATAAGCAAGGAAAAGAACCAATAATATTCTATTCTGATGAGTTTCTCATAAATCATGGAAGTACAAATATGAGAATGGGAGTAGCATAAATACAGATAGGAGAAGTAGGAAGAGAAAGCAAGTTTAAACTGGAGTAGAAGATTGGCCTTTATTCATTAGAGCAAAACTAGTAGCAATAGTTACTATACTACTAGTAACTCCAGTAGATAGCAAGATCGAAATCTTTACAAATAATCAAGCCTACATCTTGAAGTGGAAAACTATAAAAAAGGAGAATCCCAAAATGACCCACAAGAGGTGATTAAAAAAACAAAACTAGTTTCTATGGGTACATATGCTAAATATTATAAAGAAAAAGAAGTTGGATCTCAAGCTTATCAAGGTTAAGATACACTCTAATATCCAGTATAATGCAAATGCAGATACTTTGGCTAAAGAAACACTAATATTGCCAGTGATAAAATGGAAAAAATTGGTTTCACACAAGATGATTATAGAAATTAAATAGCAGAATATAGTATTAGATATCTCTATAAGACAAGTTATTAAAAAAATTAATAACAAAGTAACAATCTACCAATGGACAACTCAAGGTGGAATTGAAAGGAAATGGGACCAGCAAATTCAAGACCATCACAGATACATGTGGGACCTTGTATAAGAATATTTTAATAAGGGACACACATGAAACACCTCATTTAAAAGCTCACAAAACAAAAGCTTTCTCACTAAATTGATTAATGATAAGCTACCAACACTTATGAAGCTGGCTATAAGAAGATCAGATCTTTACAAGCAAGTAAAATATATTACATATAGTCAAGAAGAGAAAATAATAGAACATTTGATAGAATGCCCAACTTATAAGACTCAGTAGAATGAGATATAACAAAAAGAAATAGAAGGAGTTTTGAAAGGATTCAAAAAGCTCTTAAAAGAAAGGAAAATAGAATCAAAAGAGAAAGAGTTAAGCTTGAGAATAAATAATAGGATAGAAATAGAAGAAATCGACAAACAGATAGCAAAACTAGTAGAAAGAAGCTCAAAAACCAGTTAGGACATACTTAGCTTTTATATGGAACTAATAGAGAAAAAACTAGTTATCAATATAACAGATTTGATATGTTATGGCAAGATAATTGGAAAAGAAACTAGAAAATGAATAACGAAGATGCAAGAAAAAGTACGTAATCACTTCTAAAAGAAAATATGGAATATAAGATGTGAAAAGGTAATTGAATGGAAACAGAAGTTAAGAATTCACAAATACAACAAGATAAAAAGACCATTATATTCACGTGATCAGAAAAGGAAGAACAAAATTACTGAAAATTGATCCAGTAAGAAACTGATATATAAAGAAAAAAGAGTTGAAGACAAGAAGTTGGAAGAAATTCTATTAAATGGAGTGAAGTATGGTATGAAATGGTTGGAATTTTGATCTCTGTCAGAGCTCACTGCAGTAGTAACCTGCAGGCAATAATTCTAGAAGTTGGAAGGGTTTTCACTTGAACCTCTAATAGAACAATAAATCACTCTCGAAGTTGCACTTAAAGAGATAATACAACCAAAATGAGTAAGTTAGTTAGAGATTTAGCTTTAGCATTTCATTTACTATGTACAGCTTACAAATGTTTAATAAAGCACATATAACTAATCTGACAGAGGGTAAAAAAAAAAAAAAAAAACAATTGATAAGAAAAAAAGTAAATCTTTTTTATTAATAAAAATTTTTATAACAACTCATTTTAAAAGTAAAATGACTTTTATATATTTTATAGTTGATTTTTTGAGTACCTGTAGTCAGGCTAGATCATCAGTTTATTAATCAATTGAAAACATAAGTATATTTTCATTCAAATAGAATTAAATTTTTTTTTAATTATTAAGAGTTAACTTTTTTTATTAAAAAAAAATTGCGAGTAATAAAAATGAAATAATAATGATTTTTGAAGATACTTTTCAAATTGTTTTTAAGATAATAATAAGATTTTATTAATTAAAAAGTTAAAAGACTTTTATATGTGATTAAATAATTAATAAAAAAAATTTTTTATTATTTATATTATTAAATATTTGTTAAGAAATTTAAAATCAAATCAAATCAAATCAATCTTTATTATTTTTATTTCTAGGGAAGAATAATAAACTAGCTTTTTTCAATGAATTTTAAATAATATATCAAGTAAATTATTATTATTATTATTTTTTGACGCAAGTTATATATTAAAAAAAAAAAAAAAAGAATAGAAAATCATTTATTTACTGTATTTATTAGTTTTAGAATATATTTTATTGTGTATTTTTACAAGTTAAAGAATCAATATTATTTTTTATCATACTGTATCTTTTACAAGATTTAATTCCATTTTATATTCTTTCAGATAATAATAGATGTATAAAAAAAAAAAGGTTTTTTGGTTTGTAAAAAAGACGGATTAAAATAAAACAAATCATTAATTAGAAATAAATTATTACCATTGATTCCATAATAGTACTGTATATACAGTAATAAAGGATCGCATGCGTGTATATAGTGTATGGTGTATCAAAAGAAACATGAACAACTTCGCAAATACGAATTTTGCATTCGATCCCTATACTTTTCCCAATATATGTGTCACGACGCACCATAGTGTTCGGAATGTGGTTCGCATCAATTTCATTTGCTTCTTGTGAAATTCCAGACTCACATTGACACACTTTTGCGAAAAGATAGGACAAATTTTGGTGAAACAAAATAATTCCTCAAATGTCACGGACGTGGTCGTTTCAGTTAGGTTCGCGTCCACGAGCAGTAACGACGCAATTGCTGTTTCTGATACTTCAACCGTTTCTACTTTTAGCATTATAATTGTGCGAGTTTTTTCTCTTGCCTCATGAAAATTATCCGCTCGACAGTTTTTTCACATTTTCAATTCTTCAAAAAAAAGCAACGATCGGGTCACTCTGCTTACAATACGTGGGGATGGAATGGATACCCAAACACGCCGCCACAGTACATTTACGCCCAAGTCGAGATCACCCTTCCGCAAATACCAAGAACCTCTTTCGTATCAATCTTCACCGACAATTACGATATCCTATTATTTCCCAACTCGATTCCTTTCTCGAATCAGATATTGGCCACAACGGCTAACGGAAACATAAATTTGTCATACTTTGCGTCTTCCAGTGTGTCACTTCAGACTTCCAATGGAAACATAAGGGGATCCTTATATTCCGTCAGGCAACGACTTTGGGCAGGTTCGAACAACGGAAATATTAATTTGAACACCGTGATCGACTCAACCGCAAATGGTGTCGTCGTTTATGCCCAAAGTTCCAATGGGAACATCAACCTGAGATTCGTAAAGTATCTCATTATTTAAAAATTGCATAATTCACCTCTCTTTATAACTTAATACACATTCATTATTGTTAACCTGTCATGTTTCTAAACAGAATAACAGTTTTAGAGGTCAATTCGACGTCTCAACAAACAACGGAGACATCACGATCTCAAACGCCCGCGAGTCAAACGGCGGTGGCAACAATAGGAAATTCGGTAATGTTGGCGATGGTAATTATACGTTAACCGCCATTTCTAACAATGGTGATATGAATGTAATCTTCTGAGTATTTTTTATAAAACTTTTGAATACATTTATGAATGGTTTGCCTCAAAAAATTGTCGGAGAAATGAGGCCTCTTTGGCCATTTCTTCTAAACTTCGGGGTGGTCTTTCTTCGTTATCCACCTTTTTCGATTTGTCAATATCTTTGTAAATATCGTCATTGTTCGCGTAATCCCCGACTTTTCGCGGAATTATATGCACGTGACAATGAGGAACCTAAATCACAAATGAGTTTAGCCCTAGGGACGAATAAAATTTTCATCTACCTTACGTCAACCATCAGCTGTGAAGTTACCGTCTGACCGGCCTCTGGTCCGTCCTGGCGAATGAATGACAAACGTTGTTATCTTTCAATTGACAAAGTTTAAAATACGACACGACAAAGTAACTGACCTGCATAGATATGGTTAACGATGTTCCGCCATATTCACGTTCAACGACTCCGCCTATTTTCTGAACACTCAGAAACATATCGCATACCTCAAGAAAGGCGTGAACGAATGGGCTATTAAAGAAATTTTGATGAATGCTTGACTACAAAAAAAATTATGATAATTTATACCTCTTCGGGAGTCAGGTCGCTGAATCTGGGCACTGCGCGAAATGGGGAAACTAAGACATCTTCCGAGGAAAAATTTTTTGATGTAAGGAACGTTTACTCATTATAATTGCAATCAAACGCGAAAAATTGTTATTGTGTTATGGGTACGTCCGCTAAAGGAAAAAAAGTCGAGCGCTCAATAAACACGGCGGGAGGGTTCAACTTTCATTTAGAACTTACGGAAGTACGGGTTTCAAATTTACAAAGCCGAAACATGTTTTAGAGTGCATGAACACTTCACTCGAACGTATTTTGTGCGTCCCGAAGCGGTACGAGTTCATAATTTACTTGTGAAACGTAGTTCGCTCGCAAGAAATATTTATACGTTGGTCACGGAGTATCGATGGAAAATCCTAAAATGTGGCTTTGGCGCTCGTTGCACAAGATGAGGATATATGAAGATCGAATTCGCTCGTCAAGCTCTCTCATAATATGGCACATTTGTCGACCACAAGTTTTGAATATGAAACGGACGACACGAATTCTTTAAATTCCTCTTCGAGTGTTTCTTCGGCATCCACGCTCTCGCAGCCAACTACTCCGATTCTCGAACCACACCGTTCTTCCGTACCTCATTCGAACAAAAGTAATACCAATATGTATAACGATCGTGGTTTTCCTTATCTTCTTGTTACTACTTCTTTTGAATGAGTAGGGTATATTAATCCTTCAATTCACCCCATGCGAATTTTCTCACAGTCTCCGAAAATCTTAAACTGCTTAACGTGGAACATTTAAATACCTTGGATTTTTTAGACGATAAGATAGCAGGAACCCATAACAATAACATTCCGGCTTACCTGAGAAGGAACACCCGAAATTCTCAGCTTGATCCTGATACTACCGCTTTGTGGGGTTGGATACTTTTGTTCTCCGCCTTTTGTATCTTTGTGGGGAGCATGTATGCGATAGTGGTCAGCAAATTTTTTCCCGAAACTGGAAATAAGGTAGGCCAGACTCATCGATTAATTTTTAAAAGCTGCCTCGCTGACCTCATCTTTCTTTCAACAGACTTTGGATTGGATCAAGAGAGATGAGTACTATTGTCTCCTAATTCCAATCACGCTACCCGTAACTATTTATGCCGTATTTTGGAACTGGTTGGGCATGAAATTTTTTAAACACAATTGATTATCTTTCATTTATTGATGATGTCTATTGGTTTCTCGGCAGCAGTGTGCAATACAGTGAAACTATATTTATTCAAAAGTAATTTCTTAGAATAATTAAAATATCGAATTTAAGACAGATAAAATAATAATGTAATAATAATAATAGCATAATAATAATAATAGTAGTCATGACGATACGAATATGTATATATTAGAAGAAAAAACGGCAAATACATGTATGCATATATGATAAATATAAATATATATATATATATATATATATACGATGGAGGTGTTAGGAAAACGAAGTTCAATGGTACTGAAGTAAAGAATCGTTGGTCAATCAATTAGCAAGCATCAACCTGATTTGTGGAAATAATGCAACCGATCTGTACTCACCAGACTAGAAGCAAATATTATGTCGCGTTTTATAAGCGATCGCGCATCCTCCATTTTCTTGATTAAGATTTGATTGCCCATAAGCCGAGCCACGTTTCTGACTTCGCGGCAGGTCTCATCCAATCGCGTGACACATCTGACGATAGAACCTTCCATAACATCGGTCAACCCCATTACCTCCTTGAAGGGCTGTATATAAATGTTTATGATTTTCAGATTTATCGAATATCTTGAAGACTGATATCAAACTGTCGTTTACCATTCCTTTAGCCCATTCATACACGACTTCGACGAGTCCAAAATTTAACCCACCATCATTCTCATCATCTTCCGGCTTACCATAATGTTCCGATTCATTGATATGAATTCCACATTGACGCTGGACAGCAACAATCTTTTCGACATATTTTTTTATAATCCTCATCCCCTTGAAATAATAAAAATAGCGGTTAATTATTAGATTTCCCGGTTGAACAGATTTGGAGTACACAAGTCCTTGGGCTTCCTCAATGTGAAAACACGAAAATCTTCACATCCATAAAGAAATTTGGTTGAAATAAACGAATCACCTCTTCTAAATTTGGAGTTAATGTGATCTCACGTTCTTTCTTTTCGGAACTTTTCCTTTCCTGAAACACAAAACACGACAATAATGCGACTATTTCCTCGGCTTCATATTCATTCAGAATATTGTCAAATATCAACTCGGTAACAATAAGTTCATCGGCCGAATTCATCTGTTCTCGTGTGTTTGAAATAATTTGTTTTTAGCGCGAACGGAAAAATGAATACGGCGACTTGACGCGAGAACTTTACCTCGCACGCGGCTCGCCCTTTCAAATTGATACCATGAATTTCGGATATGTAGTCCAACTTTTTAAGTACGTCTACCTTTTTTTTATACTCGGGCAAAAGATCGAGATTTTTGGTCGATAGAATGCGACAAATTTCAATTTTATTTTTGAGGTGTTGTTCGCCATGTATAATTCCGTACTATTCGGAATCAGAGAAATAAATTAATCGGTGAACAGTAAAAGGTTAAGATTACTTAAAATTTCATACATGCTCGTTAAAGTCCGGGCAAATCGTGCATTTTAAATCTTTCAAGTGTCTTGTGAGATTGTCTTTCGTTTGCCAGGCGAGTTGAAATTCGAGGTCTTTTATTTTCGACCAATCGACTTCATTGATCCCCTCTAGTAAAAACATTTAAGCTGACGGATCAAACTTTGATTAAAGCAATTTGTAGAACTAAATAAAAAAGAAAAGAAAAATGTTACCGGTTTGGGTTTCCGATACGTATTGCAGTAACTCTTGATTTAACTTTGATATTTCGAGGGGATCTTGTCGTTCGATTTTAGAAACATCTAGCTGTGGTGAGAGAGCAATTTGAGAAAAGTGATGTGTAGATATTTAAAATTATTCAATTCAAGTAAATCCTACTTTAACAGTGGACCTGGTCACCAACGAAATATCGGAATGGGAAAGAAAAACGATTCTAGGCACGCACACGCTCGGATCCGGAACTGAAACCTTGGTGATAGAAACTGGAATTTCCACCTCAGAAAAGTCTTGAGGATAATTTACCGCGTATTCGTTTAATAAAATAATCTGATGCGAACAGATAAATTGAAATGCACTTTTACCTCGTTCCTTTTCAGATGCATTCGTATCGACAAACATAACAACTTTAAACAATTTGTTCGTCGGGCTGTCCAACATCACTGCCGCAACACCTCTGTAACTCTATGATGAGGAGCATTAGGTAAATCGTTGATCGGAATTCTAGAGATTCGCATAACGTATTTTTTTCTTTAAAAAAAAAAAAAAAAAAGGAACAAATATACCCTATTATTGACGATCACTATTCGCCCCGTGTTCAATAAACTACGTCCACGCGGAAAGTTCACCACTCTCTCTAATAGCTCGCGATTCAATTGCTTGATTTCCGCCGACGTATAATAATAGTCATTTATATCCGGTTCACATGTTGTGCAAACAAGTTTTTGAAATTTGCTGAGGGTTTCTTCGGCCTGGAATAAATTAAAGTTAACTAGATTAGATAGGATGGACACCTCTCCCGGTTCTTACCTCGTCGTACTTTTTCTGATGTTCCGGCAACATTTTTTGGTTTTTGTTTTCAAAAAAGCTACGTTCAATCATCTCCTCAACATTCAATGCTTCGGCTCGTATCAAATTAAGAATCATATTATAGGTCAGGCGAAATTGAGACTTCAATTTTTCCGGTTTACCCAAAATCATATTATTGAGATTCGTTGCCTGCAAATAGGTGATCAAGCGTCTGGAAAATAAATCGTAAGAACCCCAAATCATCCCCCACCCTCTTCAATGTCATACATTACCTCAGGTGCCTTATCTCCGGAACAGGCTATAATCACAATTCCGGTCTTATCGGTGTTTCTACGACCAGCACGACCAGCCATTTGCGTATATTCACCTGATGGTAACAAAAGTTGATTAATAAGCAAGGAAACTATGATGACGAAGTAACCAAAGAACATGCCTGGGCATAGATCTCGGATTTTGTTTCCGTCGTTCTTTCTAATTCCTGTAAAAACTACTGTACGTGCAGGCATGTTTACCCCCTAAACCATTCCAATTTCACTCATTTAATTTTGGTCGCAAAGATAATGACAAGGAGATCGCACCGAAACAAACCATGGCGAAAGTTTCCGTTGCAAAAAGAACTTTCACTAGTTTTCTGGAGAATAATATCTCAACCATCTGCAAATGATTTTCCGTTAATAGGCAGATTATGCGAGTGAGTAAACAAGGTAATATTATGAGTTACCTCTTTCACGGTCGGAAGCAATCCTCCATGATGCACGGCGACCCCTTTCATCAACAAACTGCAGATATTTATTATCTGTGGCAATTCCTTATCCGTCCCTAAACAAGAAAGAGATTCGTGACAATTGACTCCAAATATAATCTACCACAGACCTAAATTTTAAAGCATTGATCACCTTGCAGTCGCGTTAAGCTGCCCCTAATGAACCCTTGAATCTTTTTTTTTTCTTCCTTGTCGCTCAAATCTTTTATTCCCCGCGCATACTCTTCACACTTTCTTTTAGAGAAGGTAAAGCAGATCACCGGAAGATATTCTCTCTTTTCTAATAGACCAATCAGTTGAGTGATTTCCTGGGCCGAGATCTAAATTTAATTGCAATCGTCAACAACTCAGGTATTTTTATAAAAAAAATTGGAAAATGACACGATTTGTTTACCCCCTGAAAAGGTTGACGGCCTCTGGTTCGCGTCTTTGATTCACTGCTGGTCTTTTTTAGGGCGTCATTTGCTTGCCTCCAACTGTAATGCAATACACCGGTCCGTTGAATAAGAAAATTTACGAAATTCACGTTTCACTTTTCGACATACCCCGTGTTCAAAAAATTCTTCCTTTCGTCGACTATTCTATAAATTTCCTTATTCGCGTATAAGTAATGTTCTAGGGGTACGGGGCGTTTAGGCGTACTAACTACGTAGATATCTTTTTTCTTTGTTCGACTGCATTTAAGATTAAATACACTGAGCATCCAATATGAGAATGACGAACCAATAGCCTGTTTTCCACGTACCCAATCCAATCAGCAAACTCCTTGGTATTCGGGACGGTGGCTGATAAGAGAATAAGCTTGACATTCTCGGGAAGCAAGATTATGACTTCCTCCCAGACCACACCACGCTGTAAACCGCCAACAAATCTGTTTTAAGCTTCTTGAGATTGTAACTAATTAATAACAATATTCTCACGACATAATATTTCCTAACCTCCTGGTTATTAACATAGTGAACCTCGTCAAATATCACAAACTCGACGTCCCTTATTATGTCAGCCCCCCTGTACAACATTGACCTTAGAATTTCCGTGGTCATTATCAAACACGAAGCTTCAGGATTTATCTGTATATCACCGGTAAGAATACCGACGTCATTAAACTCCTCCTTGAAATCCTTAAATTTTTGATTAGATAGAGCCTTGATTGGTGATGTGTAAATTGCCCTATAGAAAGGCGAAGGATAAATTGTCTAAGAATTATCACCCTACTGCACATTAACTTTAACATTGAATATTAATTACCGTGTCTGATGCTTAACTGATAAAGCAATGGCGTATTCGGCTACCGCCGTTTTTCCTGCAGACGTGTGAGCAGCTACGAAAACAGAGTCGCCTTTCTCAATATGATATATGGCATGTTTTTGGAAAGGATCTAATTTAAAGCTATACTAATATAAACAATAAATAAATATATATATATATATATATATATAGATTCTCGTGTGAATGCTGGATTAATGAAAGAAATTCATAAATCAGGTACCTCGCGAGCCATCACGGGCACCAATTCTCTAAAATCCGAAATATCGGCATCTATATCAATACTATGAGCCCAATCTCTTTTCTGGCTATCATCGGTGAACTTGCTGGTCACATTTACGCTTTCAAGGGAAGGTAGCTGTAGAGAAGGAAAGGACTCGTTAATAGATCGTCTGTTAGGATATATAAAAAAAAAAAACGAGTTCATATAAATGGATACCGGAATTGACAATAGGTTGTCAACTGCTTCTTCCATTTCATCTTTGGAAGGCTGCGCGTTTTCCAGGTTTTCCCCCACTTCCTCATCAACTGACTCATGCTAATCACCGAATTCCAAGGAAGTATTATAAGCGTTCAACATAATAATAAGCAACACATCTTTTAAATACATGTGATATCTTGAAAATGAAACCTCGGAATATTGCTCCTTTGTGTTGGAATTATCGATTTCTAATAATTCGGTAAGCTCGCTGTCGTCATGGACAATCATGTCTGTTATATTCAACTCAGCCATCGCTTTACTCTGCCTTGCTTTTCCTTGACCTTCCTCATCTAATATGATAAAGGAGAGTGAGGTTTTACCGAAAAAGAAGGGAAAGAAATGATAGTGAGCTTCCATAATACCTTCAAAAATCAAGCCACGTTCAAACCCTGGTGGTATCGACAAAATTTCATCTGGTATGCGATAAAAATTATCTTGTGAGCGCTTGATCGATTTGAGTTGCCGGTATTCAAAATGATTTGCACCAAACTAATAAACAACCTTCATCAAAATTTAAGGCTTCATCTATATCTTTCAATGTTTGATCTTCCCTGTCAAGCAACACTTCTGATTCCAAACCGCCTAAGAAAGAAATCACCCTTTTCAGATTAAAATCACGAATGTTAATTAAATAATAGTTTGATAATTGATTTTACCGGGTGCAAAGGGAAAATGGTTCGATTTTCCTCTCACAAAGTCACTTCGGCTGCCTGGTTCGCGCAAAAATGATGTTGAATTCTGAGGAGTCAGTTTAGATTCCCCGACCACTACCTATTTATTAACAATTGTACTCTTTTACTATAAAGTAATGAAAACATATATAGAATTTTGTTGACAGTAGACAAATAGCCTGCCTCTTTGTAACCAGTTATCGTTCCGTCCCGTCTTTCTCGCAGAATTTCTATTGAAACTCGTGACTTGGAAGGCTCTAGGGAAGCAAGTGATGCGAAATCTGGATCCCGTTCCCAAGATCTTTTATAACAATAAGGCAATTTGAATTATCGTACGGCGTGTCATTTGAAATTAGATCGCGACGCGTTATAAGACACTAACTGTTGACACTTGGAAAGCCAAGAAACGGGAAATGATGTGCCCGGTGTCAGAAATCGTTCCTTGAGTTCTTGATGCACTTCCTCACGTGATAAAGGTCTTTTCAAACCCGGTGGTAACTATTACGAGTGCATGGAGAGCATGGAGAAGAGAAAGCCACACAATCCACATTAAAATGCTGTCACCACTGCCACCGTTTAATTTTGAAACAAGCACTCACTAGTAAGAATTCCAAAGCCTCTGAATTATCGACATTGTTGCTTAAGATATTGTGAATGTTCTCAAAAACTTGGTTTCTGATATTTTGTTCTATAAGGTTGTGTTCCAAATGTTTCAAAAGACAAGAATCATTTCAAAGTCAAATAACAGAAATCCATGAATTTCCGCAAACCCGCTAACGAAACGTCCATTTTTTCAACTGTTTGATATCATCGACACGTACAGTAACTCGGAAATTTAAGATTTCAATTCGAAAAATCATTGGCCAATTTTGTAAAAATTGAGTATTATTTTATTGACTATTATGGTTATTTCTTTTTTTAATGTCAACATACAGTATATAAAACACACTTAAACCATTCTTTAATATTTTACTATAGCTAATATCAAAGAGAAAAATAGCAATAATAAAATAATTTATAAAAAAAAGTTTAAAGTTTATTTTTGACAATAAAATAGGAATTTTTTTTTTTTTTTATAACAATTTGATATTTAATAATTATAACATTGTTTTATTATCTCAACCTGAATTCATTAACATGTCTGTTAAAAGGTTCGCCTGAAACGCCTATTTATTCTTCAGCAATCGCCTCTTGTGGCACGACACCTTGGTTTTCGGTAAGACTACCCTCAAGGATATACGCATATGGACCAGCTTTTCGTTTCTCGGTAAGCTCGTAAGCAATCAAAAGATCGCAACGTGGACAATGTAGTCGATATTGTTTCTCGTACCCTTCGGTTCTGAAATTTTTAGATCATTGCGTATGAATAAAAATCTAAAAATCATGATTAAAAGTTTTTGCAGTTTCTGCACTACCTTTTCAAAATAACCGGTGTTCCCGATTCTACAGCATTCAATTTATACACCCGTTTTCCATTTGATATTATGTAAGCCCTATCCGTTATGCGACGAGGTAATTTATCTAGTCGAGCGTCTTAATGAACATCCAAATCTTTTGTTAGCAACGGAGTATAATAGATGATGCAAAAAATATGAGGAAACTCCCAGAAGAACCTATAACTAAGATGAATTCACTGCATAGGCAGTAATAAACGTGAAGATGTTGCTCAGGACGTGCGCTTATCTGCTCGGATGATGAGACAATGGAACTTGAAACAATTTTCGGCATGAGTCGAAGCGAGTAGACTAATGGAAAAAATCAGTATTTATAGAAATGTATTAGTGGTACAAATCTACAAATCTACAAACTTGAATTCTGTCACATGAGACATCATGCAATTTATAATGCGTACACGCACCTTTTAATTAAAATTTACTTTTGATTCATAAAATGGTGTGCACCAAATGTAAGTTCATTTGTCGATTTTAAATTGCCATAGAATCGAGTTTATCCCTTTCTCTACTATTTAGGTGAAAAGAAATTGGCAAAGGTTATTTGTCCTGATAAATGGAAAGATGGATCAAGAAATACAAAAGGTACCCATTCGGCATTTAAGATGCTTTAATCAGTTAACTTACACCTCCCTTTCATTTCCCAAGTTGGCACCGACAGAAAATTAAACGAGAACAAACTACTGACTAAACCAGGAAAGAATCGGTAAATGCAATTCTAAAAAAATTTTCTTTTCTAAAATATACGAATAATGTCGGTTTTATTAATCAAATTTCTTGAACAGATTTAAACCGTACGAAAATAAATGCAAGATTTGTAAATCTCGAGTACATCAAGAGCATGCGCATTACTGTCAAGGTGATTGACTATACCTGATCCTTATTATTTTTTGACTTGCTGATCCTAAAACTTGAAAAAAATTTTGATAATAGGCTGCGCCTACAAAGAAGGAATATGTGCTATGTGCGGAAAACAAATTCTTGATACTTCTTCATACAAACAAAGTGCCAAATAATTCACTTGGAGTTCAAAATGTGCATTCCAGATCTGGTAGAATCATGTAGTATTATGGTGATTTGGTGTTTCGTAAGCCAAGCTCCTGAACTATAATTTTGATTCTTTTTTCTTTTTTGCATAGACACTAAGAATTAGTGAACTACGGAAATAAAGTTTCACTTGAAGTTGCCGTTATCAACGTCATGCATAACAAAGAATAGTAAATTCTCTGATCTTTTAATACGCTGCTTATATTGATCTCAGATTTCCTTTTACAATTTCTAAGGGTAGTTTATTTTATTCTATCTTCCCATTACCCTTGTTATCACTGCGATTTACTCCTACCATCGCTCATCATAATGATCACTCCCCTTCCATCTCCTTTCTTCGCCTGGATTATGGCAATAAAGCCTCACTACCCATGAGGATCGTGCGGTGAAATGGTGGGCTCATTATTCTTGAGTATGCGTTGCTTAATGTGAGTTCTATGGTTTTGGCTGTATCGGTGAATATAAAAAAAATAAACCAATAATCAAACAGGAAAAAGAAGTAGCACAGTTTTAAAGCAGTTATTCCTTTATTTTAGAATATAATAACTATTTTCCAAAAGATATACAATATACAGTACACAGTTACAAGGTTTTTGGTTATTTATAAAAAAGTCATTCATAAAACTTATTATTTAAAAATATAATGAATTTTCATTTTACAATTTTATGATATTTTTTCTATAAATATTAAAAGCCAATTTTCGAAACAAATAAGTACTTGAGATAATTAATAAATTATATATGTAGTATATTTTTGTTCATTTTTTAAATAATAAGTTCAATAAATTATATATCTAAATTTTTTTTGTTTGTTTTATTTTAGTTATAGTATTAAGCGAAAATATTATTTTTAAAAATATATTTTTTATACTATTTTCATTGTAATCCATGATCCATTAAAAATGTACATCAAGAATATTACTTTTTTATAAGCTAATTTAATTTATTCATTTAATATAGCTCATTAAAATAATGAAAAGGTTTTAATCAAAACTTATCATTTTTATTCTAATTAACAAATTAAAGTTTTATTGATATACAGTATCGTAATTGTTATTATTTTAAATCTTAATTTATTTAAAGAAATAAAAAAATTTTATTTAACTATTAAAAATAATCTATATATTTTATTATCTATTATCTTTTTTATTTAATTCTCTATCAGATTAGTTATACAGTATATTGTGATCAAATTTATATTTAATCAATAATTTAAGAAACAATTTATGATAATAAAGAAACAATTAATGATAAATTTATGAAGAATTTCTTTAAATTGTGTTACACTGTATTTCTTAAAAAAATAATTTTCCTAAAACTTAAATTTATTAAGAAATTAAGAATAATAGATCAATTTCTTTAATTTAAAAATCAAAAAAAGATATTTAATTTTTCAAAAATCAAGTAAAATTATTCTTATAAACTTTTTTTACTTTCAAATAAATTATTACTACTTATATATTTATAAAAATAAATTATTTAAGTCACTTGAAAAAACTCTTTCTGCTGATTCACATTTTTCAAAAAATTTTCTTTTTTGATAATTTTCTTGAAAAACTTATAAAAACCTTTCTACACAAGAACAAGCCTCAGAGGACACAACTATCCACTTTTAGATAACAAAATCTACTTTACAACAACAAGAAAAGAGTTTCACCTAGCTTAAAAGACAGATATTCCTAGACCATTTTTCTTTTAAGAAGGAAAAAAAGCAAAAACAAGCTGATTTACAGTAGACTTCTTGAGACCCAATCTCAACTTCACAAAGCTCTTAGTCAGGCCAGTGCAGGTTAACACCTTTTTAGGTATTAAGAGAAGTCTCAGAAGCAATAAATTATATCGATAAATCAGCACAACCTTAAAAATAATTAAAACCCAAAAAGACGTTCAAATCTCTTTGGTCAAACAACTAAAAGATCACAATAACACAACAACCTCAGATCAACTAATTCACGATATGCAAACATGAACATGTTAACTTTTCATCTAGTTGACGTGTATCAAAGCAAGTTAATCAATTTATAACAAAATAGTAAAACGTGACAGATCAACAAACTAGAACATGTGTGATCAACCAGTACATATTATCTAAAACAAGATCAACAGTTGATCACAGCCAGTTACATA